TGAGCCTAGACAAATCCATTTTCTGGAGAAAAAAATTACACTTTGAGTTCTTTGACTCGTTAGCTCTCAATGACATTGCTATGTAGTTATTTTATAAGGAATAGTTGTTTTTATTTTCAAATAATCTAGTACCAACAAGGTATTGTTGAATTTGTGAGCCTTTTGAATTTTTCTCTTTTTATTATGGAAAGCATGAGTGAAATTTTCTATACCAGAAATTCTATTAGTCTTTTTTTTTTTTTTTGGTCTTTTTGAGACAGTGTCTCCCTGTAGCCCCAGGTGGCCTGGAACTCACTACGTAGACCACGCTGGTCTTGAACTCACAGAGATCCACCTGCCTCTGCCTCCCAAATGCTGGGATGTTCTATCAGTCTTTTTAGCCTATAATATTTCTGTTGTTATCTACTACAACTTTTTGAAACATAGCTGAGACTGTGTTTCTACTGCCGAGTCCTGGAGTCTGACAAAGCACTATAAAGATTTAAAAAAAAAATCTAATCTGGATTTCAAATAATAGTATAAGCATTAAGCACTTATTTTCACAGTGTTTTTTTAACTATATAATTTTTTTCTTTTGTATGAAACTATTTGAGACTCACTAATTCAGTTTTTCACATATTTGGAAGACTATAGAAATTACATGATAGTTGTTTTAGGAGACAAGAGAGAAAAATAGCTCATAGATTAAATGCCCACCCAGGTGTGAGGAAATAAGCCAGGAGGGATGAGACCAAGCTCTGAAGCCAGAGAAACTGGATTCACAGTGAGGCTCTGCTGCTATTAACCCCCAAGCAAGTAAGTTAACCCCCACCCCCACCCCCCAGTTTCATCATCTCTTAAGTAGAATAACAATGATAAGCTATCTCATTGGGCTATTGTGAGGCTGCATGAGATAACGAGTATGGAGTTTGGGGCATGTTCTCTAAAATAGGGCACAGTCTCTAAGATGGTTCATGGAGGAGATGATTTCCTGGGGTGTAAGATTGTTCTTACTGCCATGGATTTGCTGTTTTCAAACTGACTTGATTGGTCTTATCTGTAGGCCTACTATCTAGTTAGAGAGGCCACACATTTACAAGAGTGCAAGTAGACAGATTTCACAGACCGGAGCAAACTGTTGGATACTGAGCTGTAGCATCAAGATGTTACCATGGTAAAGACAGCAGGGTTCAGCACTATGAGTGGGAACAGGTGAGTCTGAGTTTGGTCTCAATAAGTAAAGTAGGTAAAACCTAAGTGTTGGGGTGGATAGATGAGGAGAGAAAATGTGGCAAAAACCAGAAGCTTCCAGCTAGATGTAAAATACTTAGGCAGAGAGCGAGAGTCTTCTGGTTCAAATTACAAAGCTAGCTCAGCTGTTGAAGAAATCTAAAATTATGGCATTTAGCCTGATATTGTGCTTGTTAATCCCAAAATGAGGCAGGAAAATTGCTATATGGTTCTGTCATTAGTCTTTTCCCCAGTGCTGAACCCCTCAAAATATTTTAAAAATATTTATTATTATTATGAATATTGTGGGTATATGGTGTGTTAGTGGACGTGAGTGCTAGGCACACACATGGAAGTCAGAGGACAACTTTGTGAAGTCAGCTGTTTCCTTTTACACAGGTTCTAGAGGTTGAACTCAGGTAGTCAGGCTTGATGGCAAGCTTTACCCAGAGCCATCTTACTGGCCCCGAAAAAGTGTTTTAAAAGAGCTTAAGTTAAAAATAAAATAAGAAAAGTAGTTAATATATATAGTATTAACTTTCTTCCTATAACACTTTATATTTTCTACAAGAATGGCAAGATTTCAATTGTTTCTATGTGAACCAGTATATATTTTCTTCAAGGCAAAGCACAATTCTTATATTCCTTTGTTCCTGTGACTTGATAATTTATGTTTTTTCACCCTAAACCCTTAATAATAGTCTTTGTTTCTTTATATATTCTATTTCCTCTAAAAAGACTGGAGAAAGTTAAAAAAAATGCCTTTGTAGTTGATAGATTTATCACCTTTTCACAATTGTTAGAACAACTTTAATCTTTGTTTGATTCAAAAGTCCTTGATTGATTGACTTCTAAAATGAACAGCCAAGAAGTTAAGGTATTTCCAAACCTTATGGTACATCTTCAGAAGGTTGGATTTTGGGATTTATGGGAACTAGGTGAATGGTATCTTTAAAAAAAAGAGAATTAGGACAGCCTGGTCTACAAAGCGAGTTCCAGGCTAGCTAGGGCTACAGGGAGACCCTCTCTCAAAAAGCCAAAAAAAAAAAAAAAAAAAAAAAAAAAAAAAAAGAGAGAGAGAGAGAGAGAGAGAGAGAGAGAGAGAGAGAGAATTACACCTTTGCCTTAGGAAAGGGCATTTTTTGCTCGGCTTTCTAATAGTTTCTCGGTTAATTTTTTCAGTGTTTATTAGGACAGAACCAACAGTTGTTTATTAGGACAGAACCAACAGTTCCTAGTATTTTTTTTTTTTTTAAAACTGGATGAAAAGCAGAAACAGAACATCCCCTCCCACACCTAGAGGCAGAACCATTCTGACCTAACTAGGTTCCCTCCCTTCCTTGAGGTAGGCCTCCCCAAGCCTTCTTCCTGCCAGCTCTTTCTATTCTTGTTCCAAACCTACTTTTTAATAAAACCTGGCCAACTTCCAAGGTCAAAAGTTTCTAGGGCTGGGAATGTGGCTCACTTGGTAAAGTGCCTGCCTACCATGCAAGAAAACCTGGGTTCATCCCCAACACTGTATAAGCCAGGTGTGATTGGGTAGGTACACCCGTTATCCCAAGCGCTCAAGAGGTAGAGACAGGAAGATTAGAAGTTTCAGGCCATCCTTGGCTACACAATGAATTTGAAGCCAACCTGGGATACATGAAATAAAACCTTCTAGAGTTTCCCTACTCTTTAAGTCATTGGTTTATAGTTTGTATCTGTGAACTTGCCATTGGCATTTCTACTATTTTTTTAAAAGCAAGACTGACCAGCAGAGGTCAGAAGCTCTGTTACTGCCCAATTGCTGTAAGCACTTAGAACCAAAGATCAGAGGGCAATGTGGAGATGTGAGTCTAAAACATGTTGCTAGGTAGCAGGTTTTGTATGTTGTCTGGAAACTGGGAACTGCAGTCTTCATTGCTCTATGTTGTCAAGGCCTGGGGTAGCTTGCTTGATAACCTGTGGTGACTATAGTCACATTTCTGAGTGTGTATTACTTTATTAACAACCACCCCAGTGACAAGCTCTTATTATTTTTATGTTTCTGGGGACTGACTTGACTTAGCTGGGCTTTCTCTGTAGGTTTTACACTGTGGTTGGTATTCAGTGACTGGGGCTGCAGTCATCTCAAAGGCTCATCTACTCACATGTCTGGAGCACCTGACACTGGCTGTAGGTGGGGCTCTCATCTGGCATCATCAGTCTGGAAATCCACACCTGATTTTCTGTGTGCCCAGAACTTCTCCACAGCAGGATGGCTGAGGAAAGAGAGGCAGAGAGAGAGAGAGAGAGAGAGGGAGGGAGGGAGGGAGAGAGAGCCTGACCTTCTGCTCTGGAGTCCAGATATGAGGTACAGGCACACACACCTGCATCTTGCATGCATGCACCACACTTACTATACCAGAGAGGGAGGGAGGGAGAGAGAGAGAGGGAGAGAGAGAGAGGGGGGGAGAGGGAGAGAGAGAGAGAGAGAGAGAGAGAGAGAGAGAGAGAGAGATATTCCTCTCCATTATGAGCTGGCTTCATCACATCACTTCTACTGTATTTAGAATCCACTTGTACATCCAGCCTGAATTCAAGAGGAAGGCAAAAGAATGCCACTCTTCAATGAGAGGTGTAGCAAAGAATTTGTGGACATATCTTCAAAATACCATATCACTTAATAGTTGGAAGAGTTCTCTGTTATTTGCTGTCCTGGTATATGATATAAAACAAAAACAATGAAGTAACTTACCTTACAGATTTTTGTGAGGCTTAAATAAAAGTGGTACCTGGTACTCAAAGTGCGTTGGCTTAGACCACTATAGGGCCAGCAGCAGATCTAACTGATGTGGATGATGACAACAGTGATGGCAGAGTTCCAAGCACATACAGTCTGTAGAAGTCTACCTTTCTAAACTCTCCTGATGGCATTTGACATATCTCAGTGCCTGGGGTTCTTATGGCATTGGGGACAGAGTTACTATATAAGGTCTGAAATCCTTTGTTCACCTCATTTTAGTGACAGTTTCCAGATATAGGTCAGTCCATTTAAGCCTGGCCCCATTTATGACAATTTATTTCATTATAGGATAAAGTAGTTAGACTCATGAGTAATAATTACTGTGTCTGAAGTGCTTTTAACACCTCAGCCAAGTAATCCTCACCTCACCCCATGAGTAAGTTTGGATATGCACCCTTCCCTCTTCCAGGATGAAGAAACCAGAGCCCGGGACAAATGGCTTGTTCTGACTTCCCCAGCGTGGCAAAGGCAGCTGGGATGAGAAGCTGGGGTTCCAATTCGATTCTTTAGCCTTTCTACAGTGACCAAGTGACTTACCAATCACTGACTGATCAATACCCAACGCTGGTGAACACACTATATTCGATATGTATGTCAGTGACGGAGATCCTAAAAGTCTTGCCAGTGAAGACCCCATCGTGTCACTTGGTGTGCTGTTTTTGCTTCCAGTTAAATTCAATTCTGTGGCATTCTGGAGCACCCAAACTTTGATCTAGGAGAGGGGACATAGAGAAGGACCTCTCTCGGCTCTGTTCGCTCCCGCTGATTTCCAGCCACCAGACGCTGCTTTGGGAGTGACCCAGGTGAAGCCCGGGCCTGGCAGGCGCGGCCGCCCCGTCTGGGTGTCCCGCGTCCGGCGGGGCACGCTCACCGGGGGGCGCTGTGCTGCCTGCGCGAAGGTGCGAGGCGGGGTCGGCTGCAGAGCGAGGGGCGAGTCCCGGGCTGCGAGGTCGCCGCCCCCGCCGGGAGAGGGGTGTGGCTGCGCCGCCTCCGCGTCTCCAGCCGGCGCAGTCGGACCCAGCGGGCACCGACGCGGTGCGGGAGCGCTGGGAGCGCGGAGCGCGCGGACTGAGAGCGGCGGTACCCTGGGCAGAGGGCGCGGCAGGAGCTCCGCATTCGGTCGGACCCGCGTCCCCGAGGCGCGGCCAGCGAGCAGCACGCGGAGGCAGGCGGAGCGGCGGAGCCGGCGAGGTACGTGCTGCTCCGGGTCGTCTCGGGTCCCTGGCTACCGCGCTTTTGTGCCCGCGGCTTCCGGGCCTGCCGCAGCCTGCGATCGCGGGTCACCGGCTCCTGCGGCTCCGCTCCGGACGAGGCGGCGCTGCCGCGGGAGCCCACTCACGCTCAGATCGCCAGGGTGCTGCAACTCGGCGGCGGCTCCGGGGCGCAGAGAGGAGGAGGGCTTGCAAACTAAGTTGCTGTCTCACTTTGCCGGTGCCCCTCGGACGCGTGGGCACAGGGGAACCCTAGGTTTCCGCGGGGTCACCCGCACCCCCTCCATCCCTCTGGGCGGCAGGAGTTTCCTGGACCTGGGTTCTGTGGAAGGACATGCGGCTTCCTCTGGGAAGGAGAAGCGGAGGGAGAACAATGGGGCGTCCTGGGGAGTGGGGTTCAGGTGTGGTGTACCGGGGCGGCGGCTCGGGCGCGTGCAGGGGCCGGGACCCCTTGGGGCGCCCTGCGCGTGCAGCTGCGCTTTGCTTCTTTGTTCCTCCACAGCGGAGGGGGCTGCCGGGTCCTGTTTCCTGCCCGGGATGGGATTGATTCACAGTCCCAGGGAGGAAAGGGGAAGGGGGCGGGGCTGGATGGAAACCAGATTGGGAACGGGAGCCCTGGAGGGTGCTGGGCCTGGAGGAGCACTGGGAAAGGGGTGATGAGAATGCGTTGGAGTTAATTACAAACACAACCTTCTGGCCAAAGGCCTGAGGAGCTTATTTGCGGTGCTTTGTTCAGCTGCGACCGAGCACTTAGTGTTGCAACAAGTTCTCTGTTTCCTTGAGTTCTAGACTCCGGCAGCGGTAGTTTGCTGAAAGCAGATCTTGTTAGTTACAATGGAAGAAAAGCTTTTATTTTTTTATTTAAAACTTTTTTTATTTTTTATTTTTTTGGTTATGAGTCAGGGTATTTGTATGTATGTGTTTCTGTAGGTTTCAGTGTAGCTCACATAGGTGCACACATTTTATAGAATCGTTTTGACAAAATAGTTTTCTCCATTGTCATACAGTATAGTTAATAATTTTCCAGGAATGCTTGGGGCCCAGGAACCACCAGAAAATTAGACATTACTAACTAAATAAATGAATCAGATGATGTAATACTGAGTTGAAAAACTCTTCTGTAGTAGGTCCCAGAAAACACACCCCACACTCCTTTTGGGCTTGATTTTGAGCTGGGAGCCCTGGCTGCAAGTGCTCCGTGCTTTCCCTCCCTGTGGACCATCTGGAGAAAGAAAGCGAACACTGCATGATGGCGAATGGGAGTTTTTGTAGGGGGAGTAGAATTGAATGTAATATACCAGGCATTTGTTAAATGACCCGTCCTAGATTGGAATCAAGAATCCCAAAAGAATTGGTTGACCTTGGGAGTGGAAGTGAGCAACAGGGATTGAGTGATGGGCACTCTTTGATCAGGGTATTCCAAGCAAAACTGTTTGGGGAGGAGGCTGATGTTTCCAGGTATTCCTGGTGGTGCCTGTGGGACGCTGATGGAAGGGTCCCAAAGTCCAGTGCAGGTTAGAGTTACTGTGGTGATAACTTAGACATTCAGTTACAACAGTCCAGCTGGGACCAGTGCTGTCTGTTGACAAACCCAAGGGACACCATGAAACTGCCACTTTGGCCTTTTGCCGCTAAGAGGAACCAAATTTGAAAGCCTTTTAACCTTAGAAGGCAAACTGAGAGCTTACTCTGAGGGAAAAAATGTTTCATGCCCACTAAGTGGTCATGGAAGAGCTGTACAAGCTCCCGCTGAAGGCTTGTCTTTTTCGTGGGCGATGTGGTCAGATTTTCAGGGCAGGCAGGCTTTCTGAAAAGCAGTGGAACTTGTCCTTAGAAGCCATTGTAATGGAAGTTGAAATGGGACAGTGTCCAACCCTCAAGCTGTTTGTTGCTAGAACTAGCACACTGCGTGGCAAAATATTGTGCCATGGACAGCTTAAAGATGGGCTTTTTTGTTGTTGTTGTTGTTGTTTGTTTGTTACTGTGGTCCTACCGTTTAGAACTTTCATTCATGTGAGTTGTTCCGTAAAAATACAACTCAGTTGGATTCCTCCCAAATGCTCTTTGGTCTGTACATTAACAAAATGTAAAGCATAGGACATTACTGCTGTTGAAGACATGAATGGGAGAATCCTTAAATAGCTATTTTTTGGCCTCTGGCTGTCCCACTGGGTGCTGGATTATGTGATAAAACTGGCAACAGGCTGTACCCCCTTCTGGGATGAATCATCACTTGTCAAGCCTGGAGTTTAAGACTTCCCTGGTTGCTACACAGCTATAGAAAGCAACAGGGATGGATTGACATCACTGGGGGAGAGTGTGGGTGAGGAGTGGGGTGGACAATTGGCTAGGAAGGGATCTGGAGTGTCCTTGATGTGTGAGTACCAGTGCTCATACCACTGGGCTTTTTGGGTGAGGTTCTTCGTGCTTGTACCTCTGTATTGTCTTCAGTAGCTAGACCTTTAGATTTTAATTGGACAGGCTAACACTGATTATAAGTACTATTTATTGGGTTTATTACATGCAGAGTTTTATGTGTATCAGTATATTAATCCTCAAAATTTAAACCTCAAAGGTCTAAGTTGTCCAGTCTGTTCCAGAATTCACTGTGTAGCTCCAATGTGGCTCTGAACTCCGGGTCTTCCTGCCTCTACCTCCCAAGTGCTGGGTTTATAGGCATGAAACACCATGCCCAGCTTTAAACAATTTGTTTTTGTTTTGTTTTGAGACAAGTTCTTACTCTGTACCCTGGGTTGGCTTAGAAATCACTATGTAGCCTGGGCTGGCTGTATGGCAGTCTTCCTGCCTCAGGCTCCCAATGCTGAGATTATAGGCATGAGCCAATGCTCCCAGTACCTTGCATCTTGTATTATGGTTGTATAGGCATATAGTAAGTGGCAGAGGTTTGATTCCAAAGTTGATACTCTACATAAACACTGTATCTCTCTCTCTCTCTCTCTTTTTTTTTTTTTTTTTTTAAAAAAAAAAAAAACAGGGTCTCCTTAGTCCCAGCCTGCCTGGAAGTCACAGTGTAGACCAGGCTGTCCTTGATCTTGCAGAAATTCCTCTGCCTCTGCCTCTTGAGGGCTGGGATTAAAGGCATGCACCACCATGCTCAGCTGTATACATCTTTTAATAATAGGAATAACCACAATTTGAGTATCTTCTTGATTAGCTCTTTGCATATTTCAAATTACTTTTATGTGTATTATAATTGATCCTCTAAAAGCCACTGTGATATAGGTTAGGAAGACCAGATTAGTGATATTTTTACTTTTAAAATGGCATTGTTCGCAGGGCGTGGTGGTTCACGCCTTTAATCCCAGCACTTGGGAGGCAGAGGCAGGCAGATCTTTGTGAGTTTATTTTGATATATCACAGTGAAAGATTTATCGTCCTCTTTTTTTTTTTTTTTTTTTTTTTTTTAAAAAAAAAAAAAAAAAAAAAAAAAAAAAAAAAAACAAAAAAAACCAGCATTGTTCAAGAGATTTGTATGAATTTTTTTTTTCTAAACATGGTCTCATGTAGCCTAGGCTGGCCTAGAACTCACTGTGTAGTTGAGGATGACCTTGAACTTATGTTCCTCCTGCTTCTACTCCCAGAGTACTTGGACTGTAGACATGCACCACTGTTTAGGTTTTACACAGTGCTGGAGATTGAACCCAGGCCTTCATGCATACTAAACAAGTTAAAAAATTTTTTAAGTTAAAAAATTATATTTTTATTTTTTATTCTGCATGTATGAGTGTTTTGCCTGCACATGGATGCACTGCCTGGGGAGCAGAGGAAGGTGGTGGGTCCCCTGGAACTGAAGTTATGGAGCAGTTATGAACTGGAGTTCAGTTCCCATCATGTGGGTGCTGGGAACTGAACCTGGTTCCTCTGCAAATGCACCCAGTGCTTTTAACCACTGAGCCATCCCTCCAACCCCATCTATCTATCTATCTATCTATCTATCTATCTATCTATCTATCTATCTATCTATCTAATCTATCATCATCTATCTATCAATCATTATGTTTTTGGAAACATGGTCTTGCTATACAGTGTAGGCTGGCCTGGAACTCACCATCCATGCACCTCTTGAACACTGGGATTACAGGTGGGCGTCACCACGCCCACCTTCAATTAGCCTCAACTAAAAGGAACTTTATTTATAAAAAGCAGGACTGCAAGCATTTAAAAATAAGTTATTTTTTGGGGTTGGGGATTTAGCTCAGTGGTAGAGCGCTTGCCTAACAAGCGCAAGGCCCTGGGTTCGGTCCTCAGCTCTGAAAAAAAAAAAAAAAAAAAAGACAAAAAATAAGTTATTTTTTTTAAACATTTAAAAGTGGTATGGTAGAATGGAAGTTGATCTTATATAGTATTAGACCTTTTTATCTTAAAGTCTTTAACAGATCACTGCAGTGTGTTCCTCAACTGAGACCCAGTGCCAGAGTGTCTTTTTAGAGGAGTATGGAGAGAAGGACTGTGCTAGAGGAGAGGAAGTAGGGCATCGCAGTTGTTGGAAACATCTGCAGCCACAGGCCGTAGATTTTCCCAGCACGTGCTTTCTGTCCGGGCGGTAGCTTCTCACAGAAGACATTCTTCCTTAGGGAAGTGTCAAGGGTCTGCCTTTACTGGATCCTCTAAGATCATCACATTTCTGAGTTCTGTGGGAACATACATTCCACATGATTTCTGTGCTTAGCTCTTCCCTACTGGGAAGTGAACTAGTTTAGGACATCAATATAAAAAGGGAACAGAGGTGAACTGCATCCTTGGCCTGGAACAGAAGGTGGTGCTGGGCACAGGGACCAGACCTTGACCCAAGAGTGACTACCAAGTGCAGGAGCAGGATGGAGATTTTATACATGACATGGATGAATTGTTCATGGATTTCTCAGAATGCTCCTGGGCAGAGAGAAAACTCATCCTTTTGTCGTATGTGTGTGTGTGTGTGTGTGTGTGTGTGTGTGTGTGTGTATGTGTATGTGTATG